TTTCTTGAACGCTGTCTGCAGTATTGGCCATAACAAACAGCAAGGAGGAGGCGAGGAATGGTAACAGCGATGGGAGCATGGTGATACCGACCAGTAGTTGTTAACTGGTGTCTTATGTTTCTAAAACTAACAGCCCATGAATGCTGGTGGTGGAAGCAAATGTAGGACTTGTACATTCGAAAGAGTTGGGAGGGAATGTTTCTTTCCTTACATTGTGCCTATTCTCCATCTATAACTGGTTTTGCTTTTCAAACTGTGTGTAATGCGCTTCCCCCCTCGCATATGGAAATTTGATCTGGAAGCATTTGTAGAAGAAAAAGAATGAAGTAAGAGAGGGGCAAGTATAACTCCTTCAGAGTGAGCCTGAAAAATGCCTGTCTGTATTTCAAGTTAAAATTAAGAAGAACTTAATCGATGCTTCAAAGTGGATGTGTTGTTAAATTCCTCTTCTGTGCTGTCTTGTCTGTGTAAAAGTATAGCCTCAGTCCTTATCCAGCAGAGACTGCCCATTAAGGCAGTCCCTTCCTCCCCTGAGGACGGCAGCAATGAGGTTTGAGTTACTGCATTTATACTAGTGATAGGGTCAAAAAACTAACTGGCTCCAAAATTGGTGTCTCTGTCTTACCTCTGAGAATGAGATGCAGAGTCATTGGCAGAAAAAGCTTAAGTCTTTTTGGTGGGGACTAAACCCACAATCTACTGGTTGCTTAGGCTTCTTTTAAATGTTATATTTCCAGAATTCTATGCTATGTATTTTTATGAGTGGGCATGCTGTCAAGATAAACTTGCTCTGGGAAGTCCTTAATATACATGATTCTTTTCAGGACACTTGGCTTACTTGTGTGCCTGGTTTACAGCGAGAAGGGTAATGGAGACATGTAGCAGGCAAAACAGACAATGATTTTGACATTTTTCTGTAGAATACTAGCTTCTTCGAAATGCAGCAGTACAAGTCCCTTGAGTAATTCCTTCAAAATGAGAAGAGCAAAGTTAGACAAGAAAAATGTTTTCCATCCTGTTTTCTGATACCTAGTATTATGTAGCAGCAATGCAGAGAGAGTGAAGGCTTAGGCCTGTCTGCTAATATACTGCTTTCTGACAAAGGGTTCACACAGTGGGAAGTGGTTAGAAGAAGTGATTTGGGGATTAACAATAAAAACTTCAGTAAGGAATTAAAGGCAGATGAATGCTTTCCATCTCATTTTTTAAGAAGTAACTGATGTAAGGGACGCTAATCAGAGGAAGAATAAAACTCAGTTTGCCAGATGAATGGAGATGTAAATGATGTAAGTAATACACTTCATGAGTGTGGAGGTCCTCCACGGCTCTTCAAATGGAAGCTACTTTGATGAACCCAATATTCTCCTAGGTTCATGGATAAATTTTTTTTTTTCCCCCTGAGCTTTTTCAGTTTCCTTAATTTACAGCAGACAGTTTCTCACTGGTGCCCGATATGGATTCTGTACTGCCATTCCCTAAATCAGTGGGTTTTGGCCATTTTCTGTCCATGACTGACAATCAGTATGCTTAGCTTGATCTTTCTAACTTTGGGTTTCATTCTGTTGCTTTGTGCACCCTAAGGCCATTACTCTTCAGTCTTGCCATTGCATTTCTTTGTTTGCTCATATATTCCTGACCTTGTTTTGTTTCATTTTTCCCCTTCATTTCTAGAAGCTCTTACTGATAGATTAATTTCTTAACCCCAGCTTTCTGTATCACTCCCTCAGCTTGCTTGCCGAGGTAGGTATACAAGAATGCCTTGAGCACTGTCCTTTTTATGCCAAAACATCCCTGGAGGTTTCTCCCCTGTACTGGCTGGCGGTTTCCTTCTTTTCTCTGGCGGGTGTGCTGTGGGTTGAGCCAGGCTGGTGATGGCGAGTGCGATGTAAGAGGACTCTGTCCTTCTTAGCAAAGGAGATAACTGCCTTGCTCATAGTTTGCCGCTTAATTACGCAAGGCGGTGGAAAGCTGTTCGAAGTTTGCCCCTGCAAAAGAAGTTACGCTTTGTTTCAGACTGACCCTACTCTGTTTTGGAGGTAACTGGTTTAATTTTGCTATAGTTCAGCAGCATGTAGCAGTTGTTAAATAGATGCTCAGAAATCCCATTCCTAAAGGTTTCTGTGACAAACAGCACTATCTGCAAGCTAATTTAATAGGAGCTCTAAATTGAATACAAGTTGTGGTGGGTTGACCCTGGCTGGATGCCAGGGTCTATCACTGGAAGCCAGTCTATCACTCCCCTCCTCAGCTGGATGGGGGAGAGAATGTAAAGAAAGGCTCGTGAGTCAAGGCAAGGACTGGGAGAGATCATTCACTGTGGTCAGTTCATCACACGTTGTCTCTGCCGCTCCTCCCTCCTCGGGGGGAGGACTTCTCACACTCTTCCCCTGCTCCAGCGTGGGGTCCCTCCCACAGGAGACAGTCCTCCATGACCTTCTCCAGCGTGAGCCCTTCCCACGGGCTGCAGTTCTTCATGAACTGCTCCAGCCTGGGTCCCCCCACGGGGTGCTGTCCTTCAGACTGCTCCAGCGTGGGTCTGCCACGGGGTCACAAGCCCTGCCAGCAACCCTGCTCCAGCCTGGGCCCCTCTCTTCATGGGGCCACAGGCCAGGAGCCTGCTCCAGCGCGTTCTTCGCACAGGGTCACAGCCTCCTTCGGGCATCCCCCTGCTCCAGCCTGGGGTCCTCCCCGGGCTGCAGGTGGAGATCTGCTCCAGCGTGGAGCTCCATGGGCTGCAGGGGCACAGCCGGCCTCACTGTGGTCTTCCCCAGGGGCTGCCGGGGAACCTCTGCCCCGGCGCCTGGAGCCCCTCCTGCCCCTCCTTCTTCTGCACTGACCTGGGGGTCTGCAGGGTTGTTGCTCTCACATATTCTCACTCCTCTCTCTGGCTGCAATTGCTGTTGCTGTTTTTTTTCCCCTTCTGAAATCTATTACCCTAGAGATGCTCCCACTGTCACTGATGGGCTCGGCCTTGGCCAGCAATGGGTCCATCTTGGAGCCGGCTGGCACTGGCTCTAAGAGACACAGGGGAAGCTTGTAGCAACTTCTCACAGAAGCCACCTCTGCAGCCCCCCCGCTACCAAAACCTTGCCACGCAAACCCACTACATAGGTGTAATTGAGTTTTAAGTAGCACTTCTTTGAAACAGTAGTATGTTGTATTCCTGCAGTTGGGTTTGCCTCATTTCAAACAGCGCATTCAGAACTTTCAGTTGCCTTATATTTTTAACAGGCTGGTGGGCATGCTGTAAAATAGCCTATCTGGTACAACACAAGCTAATGAAAAGCTGGAATCCTTTTTATGTTCTGACAGATGCTCCGGTTGTGCTAAACTTGATGACTATCACTGCGGGGTTGGAATCTTTATTACTGCACCAAGTGCAATCTGGTACTTGGAACAAAAAGATAAAAACCATGCGCTGTTTTAAAGTAATCTGTAAAAACAGTTACTTTGACTCTGCATCACCTTTCACGATTTATTACTTGCAGTGGAAAAGCTTTGAATTTTGGGGGGAGTCTACGAAAGTATCAAGTATTTCAAATTTATTTGATGGCTTAAAAGGATTTCTGTTCTTAATCCTGATGATCACTTATGCTATGAATGCTATTTATTGTGTAGGAAAACCTGCTTGTTTTATGGTAGTACTCGGTTTTATTTATAACTGCTTTCAAGTCTCCATCTTCAGAGTTTTTGTAATAACTGTCCAGCATGTTCACACACAGCGTACACACACGAAATGAATTCTTCAGTCACTGGCATTTTTAAAACCATATTTAATTAGTTTTAGCCATGGGACTTGCACTGTATAAAGTTTTCATCATGCAGTCCATCATCATAGTGTGCAAGTTCCTCAAAGTTTTACCAGAATGTCACAGTTTCAGGAAAATACTCAGTTGTGTGACGCCTCTCTTGTTATATGCTATTTGTATGTGTAATTTTTTTTTTTTTAGCATGTGAGTATAAGATTCAAGAAATTCCAAGTAGATAACTTGCTTTTCAACTGTTATTCCTCTTATGTAACACTGGGAAGGTGTAGCTTCTAAGAAAATTACCTTTGGCAAAATTAATCTTGGAAAAAAACATGCACATATTTAAAAAAAAAAAGAATTTTTGATAATGTCAGCTTTAATCTCATAGAAGTTCCTTGAAAGGAAATGGTCCAAGAAGATAATTCAGAAACTTGAATGTATTTTTACCCATTATTCAACAGTTAATGGAAAAGGATAATAAACTCGTTGACTTTGTTGGTTCGAGGCTAAAAAGCTTCAAATGAGTTTGACTTGGATTGAACACAGAGTTCAAAAAAACCTAGATGCTGGAGAAGAAAATCATGGTAACACACACACACACAAAAAGTTTGTTTTTGCTGTTTTCAATAGTTTAACTAATTTGGCGATTCTAGTTTCTAAACCCTGCAAGAATGTGGCTGGCTTCTTTTATCTGGAGTTAGCCTTTCTCTAACAGGTTCTCTGTGCTCTGTTACAAGTTGTAGTAGGCAGAGGTATCAGTGAGCACTTGAGCCTTTGTGTAGTTTTCTTACATCAGTGTTTTGTTCCCTCTTCTACTGTAGTTGTGCAAGATAGTGTGTTTTACCCAAAGGTGTTTCAAGTGATTGTTTAACTCTGTGCAAGTGAGGCAGGATGGGTGGGTTATATATAAAAGCCTTTCTTCCATTTTTCAGTAATGTTTGTCTGGGAGAAAAAAGGAATAAAGCATGTTTTATATCTTTCTTTGTATTAGAAATCCACAGAAAATGCAAATCATTATACAATGAACTGTCTGAAACAATGAAATAAAAGTTTGGGTTCTGTACCCTTGCTGCTTCGACATATCTGTTGTTTACGTGCTGTTCTTCTACACATAGTTTTTTAGACGTTTGCAACTTAAAACCAGCAAGATAATTATACACTAATACACCAAAAAAATCCTCCTTTCCAAAAAAAGAAAACCCAAACCCCAACAACAGCCTCCCCCCTAACTTGTTGTATTACCACTCCACAGGAAACTGTTGTGCTGAAAGGAAGAATTAACTGGTCTTTCAACTTCAGCCTTTTTATTGTGAGAGGGGAGATCACAGAAGTGTTACCATGGGGAGAACAGCTGCTAAAGGTAAGGCCTGGTAGCTTTTATCCAAGAGGAAAGAAAATAAGGAACATACTAAATTCTGGTTTTGAAGGTGGTGGGATATTACTTGACAATTACTATATTGTTAGATTAAAGAAGACAGTTTATGATATGTACTGAATACAGGTAAGTTCATTAAGTTCACACATTGTTTTAGAGCAAATATGCTAAATTTGGCTTATCCTGGAGTTCTGCATGTTCAGCCAAAGCAATTTTGTCCTGTGACAGCCTTGAAGCCATTATACTACTCTTAAAATTGGAGAATGTGTCTAGGTGTGATATTAAATAAAACGTAGTGCTTTATTCCATACCTGCATATAATTTAGCAGGACGATAACTCAGTAGTACAAGGAATCAAATTTTATCACAACGCATGGCATTAGCAGCTGTCTCTTGAAGATAGAATGAACATTTTTGAAGAAATTAATCCACGAATGTGCAGTGTACTACGAAGGTGTGATTTCTGCTGTGTCGTGTCTGCGGAAGTTAATTCTGAGTTAAGTGCTAAAATAAAGAGTGAGACTTCAGAAGAAACAAGGGTGTTTGGGTTGGTGAAACAAAGAGAATGTGAAGAAAGACCCACTGTCTGAAACCAGGTTGCTGCTCTTTTCAGAGCTTTCAGATGGGTAGTCCTCCCCCATAAAAGGCTGCTAACACTTTTGTACTTTTCTTGAGCCACCTTCAGCCCAAGCTGCTTTATGTGCTTGTGCGCTCCCCTGGTAAATAATTGTCTTTCGCTATAATAGATTTTCTGTAATGGTGGGAGTAATCCATTTAAGTGTTGCACCGAATTTATGGAGGAGGGCTACCCCATTCTCTTCTAGTTTTTTTTTTTTTTTGCATGGTTGTTGTCTAAATATACTAAAAGAGACACCCTGTTCTGGGCAGATAAGGTAAGAATTGCACTAGGGAAGCACGAAAAGAAGGGAAAGGAGATGTTTCATATTCACTCTGTCTTGATATCCTCAGCTGTGTGCACTGAGGCTTGGAGAAGGGTAGCAAAAAGGTGCTCACGGCCCTGTGTGGTAGGGAGTGAAGGCGGCCCCTTTCTGAGCAATGGTAAGTCTTGGGCTTGTCTTAGTAAACTTCATCTGAGGCAAGTAACTGTGTGGCGTTGGAAGAGCAAATGTTTCTGTCACCCAAAGGTATTTCAGGTCCGTCAGAAAGAGACAAGGGGTTTCTTTGAGAAGAGCAGTCTCCTGACATGTTTTGAACATCCGTCAGAGTTGAAGACTTTAAGGTGGCTAAGAAATAACTGCAGAAATCTCGAAAGCATAACTATGAACTGCTTTTTTCCCCACGTTGGACAGCAAGTAAATAGCAAATCTTCAAAGATAACACATATATGCCTCCTCATGTAGCACACCATTCTGTGGTAAAAACTAATACTGTCAAAAGACATGATGCTTGCCAGCATGCAGACAAAGTGATCATCTTGCTTGTTGGAAGCTTAACTCTTCCCAGAAAGAAGTGTGAATTTTTAAAGCATCTTGGACAAGACGCTGGAGTTCAACATGGGAGTTTATAAGAGGAACTATACATTGGTCACCAGGATTGACTTTACAAGACCTTACATTCTAAAGGTGCCTTTTCTCATTGTTCTTTTTTTGTTTGTTTTGGCATTCACAAGTCAGTCAAGATAGCGTTGTCTTTTTTTCTTCCTTGTCTTTTAATTTTTTGCATGATACATGTGGTTGCGCTTCCTTGTCTTCTGTTGAGTAATCTTATCAGCAGAAGAATTCTGTGGTTACAGATAGGGTGGGAGTAATGTAAACACACAGAGTTTTGAATTGGTAAGTAGAAAGCGCTGTTAAATAATCTTACTCTAATCTTGTTTTTTATCTACAGCTTTAGTTTATGAAGTGCATTGTAGAAAAACAGTTAGCTGGTGAACAACAGAATATGCTGCTTTTGTTATTTTAGTATATGCTGTATTCTAATCTTGCTACCTAGAAGAAAACAATCTTTCATGGGGTTTTGAAAATAAGTATTTAGCCTGTATGTATCGTAGGCTAAGTATATATGTATTTACATAGTGTATATATCCACTATATACTTACATGTATTACTATATTTTTAAAGCTTTGAAAATGGTATCCCATTCTTTGTTGTTTTTCTTTTAAAGTGAACTGAGTAGCATGTGATTAAATCCACAGTAGCAGCATTTCATTTTCGTTTGTGTTTTGACAAAATGTTCTAAAATGTACTGTGTTTTACATTGTAAAGTAGACTGAAACTTGTCTCTTTAAAAATGGACTTTATAAATAGAGGAAGATAGATAATGAATTAAACTGACATATTTTTTTGTCACAGTGAGCTTCAAGACTCTAGAACTAGTAAGTCTCTTATGTCTCTAATATATGAATAAAGTTCCCATTTTCAAGTCCACTTTTCAGGTTTTGAGGATTTAGCCATTGAAAATGGCTAGGTGAAGGAGATGAAAAGTAAATACTCTGCACTTGCAGAACTGTTTCCCTCTTTCATAACCTCATTTTTGAGGTTTGACCTCAAAGTTTGACCATGCTGAGGGTTGTATGCTGAGGGATTCGTTTTCCTCAGCCCAGTGATTTGATATAATAGTCTTCCATGTAGTAATTTTGTTTTCAGTGATCGTTTTGAAAATAAATTTACTAGAACTTAGGATATCAAAATTTCAAGTGTAAATTGGCATGCATTTAAAAAACAAAGAGGAGGAAAAAAGATTGTCTTTCCTATTTATAAAATTGGATTTTAATAAAATCTCATTTTTTAATATTGTTTTTGAAAATAAACCATACATTCTTAGCCACCTTAACTACTGACTTCGGAAGCGGCATACCAGACCAAGGCATCATAGCAACTGTGAAGTATAGATTGGGGGAAAGTTTTCTGAGGTGGTGGTAGATACAGGGTATCTCATGTGAAAACAGGTTAGTAATTCTTGCTGCTAGTAGCTTTTCATCTGCGTAGACAAAATGCTCCAGCTTTGTAACTGTCTTCCCAACGTTGATGTTTGGAATGCAAAAAACCAAGGGGAGCCTTTGAAAACAATCTTGGTTTTATTCAGACTTACTTTTGGATGCTTCTGCATGTGCTGGGTGAGTTTTACTTGAGCATTTTAAAGAGTAAATTTCTGTCCATCGAAAACAAGTGTTAGTGGTGGTGCTTTGGGGTTATTATGAATGAAGATGCCTCTACCTCAAATGAATAGATGTTTAAACTGCTATTGATGAATCCCATTTCTTCTCATTAATGTTATCATCTCATCTTGTTCTCATAGTTTTCTAATGGCTGATGATAAGAAAAATGTCTTGCTGAGAGTGTTCCATTTCAGCGTTCATATCTGCTGTGATATTTGTGTGATAGGCACTAAATCTAACTGGTACAGGAAATAAATAATCAGGTGGTGGTTGTCAGTGAGAACTCATCTGGTGTCCAGGCTGCGGTTTTTCACATTCTTTCACCTGTTCTTGATGTCTCTCATCATGAAAGGCTGTCATCTTGTTTGAAATCGGGCACTGTTGGATAGATACTGTTTCGTGACTCTGTCCTTTCAAGCTTTGGGTGTTCACAGGAAGCAGTTATTAGTTCTATTCTTCAGTAAGTCTTTTATGTGGGACTCCGTTGGATTTCCTCTTTGGAAATAAGCATATTGGGAAGTTATCTATTCTGTAAGCTGTCAGCCTGATATCTGCGACAGTCTCATGACTGTTTTTGGGAAAGTCTGACTAACAGCTTCTAGAACATGGCAAAAGGCTCTGCTGGTAATTGCCACCACCCAGTAGAAAACTATCTGGATTCGGTTCAATCCCAAAGAGTCTAGATGGAATATATTTTGATCTGTAGGAGGGAGAAGGTGAATGTTATCCTTGTGTCTTGTCATTGTTACTGGACTAGTTTTACTGCTGTCCCTTCTCAGGTTCCCACTGGTAGCTGTTGTCAGGACGTAGGTTGTCTACTTGTGTGGGTTAAAGACCTACTGCTGAGCAAGTAGTGGGGTTAGAGCTCTGTGGGCACCATTCAGAAGCATTTCAGCAGGTCTTTCTGAAGTTGACCTCCATAAGGAATTTTCTTTGGGAACCTGTCAAGTGCTTTCAGTGATGTAAGCAACCTTTTTCCAAAAGAGTGTGTAAGTCAAGAAAGAAGACTAAGTGAAGGAGTAAATACAGCATTTTCTTTCCTTTTCAGAGGATCTTTGGTATTCCCTATATCTGCTTAGGGGAAACAGGTGATACTTTTGCAGCATATTTTGAGCAGGTATGTAGCTGTAGGAGCACCACATCCAGATCCAGGATTTTTGGTTTGATGACAGAAGATTGTATGATTCAGCTCTTGCTGTAGGTGGCAATTCCTCAGTAAATAATGAAAGAAGTGGGGCAGAAATTATGAACATCAGTACTCTTCAAGAAAACACTGACTTACAGAAAACATAGAAGAGAAATGCTATCAAGACTTAATCTTTGCTGCAGAACAACTTGTATCTCAAGTGTTTCTGATCACCAAATGCCTCTTATTCAAGGTTAGGAGTGTTTTTATTTCAAATGCAAGCCAGTCAATAGCTGAAGACTTAAGTGCAAGCGGATACAGTAATCAGCTAATAATACAATGTTTTGGTACAAGTGAACCATCCCTTCACCTGTTCAGGCTAATGAGGATGGCCAAAAGCATAAGTTGAGGCACCTTCCTGGAGGAGTGGCCCCATTCCAGGTGCTGAGGTATCTGCAAACCAAGAGTTATTCAGCCATACAGAGCTTGCTAACCTTTTTAAATCTGAAAATGTACTTGCATTTCATTTGCCAGTGTCATATTTGAATTGTGTTTGAATTTCAGTCCAGTAGTGTCAAAAGCAAGTCACCAAACCAACGTATTTTAAAGACTAAAAGGAACAGGTGGAACTGGCTTCCTCTGTCTTCTCCATTCTAGCCTCCCAGTCCCCCTCTCTGTGTGTGTCATGCACTGAAATCTGGCAAAAATGAAACATGACAGACCCCTTTATGTGTGTGGAG